AAAGGAAACTAACAATCCTACAAATCAAAATAAAAAACCAGAAAAATATAAAAACTCAGCACACACAAAAACTGATGAAAAAGATGAAAAGAAAATACGTAAAGAAAGATGACTTAGCACAAAAAATTAAGGGGAACAAAGAAACTGAACAACACACAAAAAAAGACATCAAAATGACAGCACTAAACTCATACCTATCAATAATTACGCTGAATGTAAACAGACTAAATGCACCAATAAAGAGACAGAGAGTGGCAGATTGGATAAAAAAACACAATCATCTATATGCTGCCTACAAGAGACACACGCACCTTCGACTTAAAGACACAAACAAGCTAAAACTCAAAGGATGGAAAAAAATATATCAAGCAAACAACACTCAAAAAAGAGCAGGAGTGGCAATATTAATCTCTGACAAAACAGACTTTAAGGTAAAATCCATCACAAAGAATAAGGAAGGACACTATATAATGATTAAAGGGTCAATACACCAGGAGGATGTAACTGTAATATTTACACCCCCAACGACAGGGCTCCAAAATACAGAAAACAAACTCTAACAGCACTGAAAACAGAGATGGCTCCACAACAGTAGTAGGAGACTTCAACACGGCCACTTTAGGTGAAAGACAGAACATCCAGAAAGAGGCTCAACAAAGACACGGAAGAGCGAAATGCTACAATCAACCACAGACATATACCGAACATTCCACCCAACAGAAGCAAAGTATACTTTCTTTTCCAACACACATGGAACATCTCCAGACGAGACCACATATTAGACCATAAAGCAAGCCTTAACAAATCCAAAACATTGAAATATTACAAACCATCTTTTCTGACCATAAAGCCATAAAAGTAGAAATCAATAACAGAAAAAACAAAGAAAAAAAATCAAACACATGGAAACTGAACAACACCTTGCTCACAAACTACTGAGTTATAGAAGAAATTAAGGATGGAATAAAGAAATTCATAGATTCAAATGAGAATGAAAACACGTCCTACCAGAACCTTTGGGACACAACAAAAGCAGTGCTGAGAGGTCAGCTTATAGCAACAAATACACACATCCAAAAAGAAAGGGCAATAATCAAAACATTAACCCTACAACCGGAACAAGTAGAGAGCAACAATAGAAGCCCTCAGGTGCCAGAAGAAAGGAAATAATAAGAATTAGAGTAGAATTAAATGAAATAGAGAACAGAAAAAACAATTGAAAGAGTTAACAAGACCAAAAGCTAGTTCTTTGAAAGACTGACAAAATTAATAAAACCATTGGCCAAACTGACAAAAGAAAAACAGGAGAGGATGGAGATAAGCCATAGAAAAAATGAGATGGGTGCTATCACAACAGACCCAGCTGAAATTAAAAGAATCATAACAAAATACTATGAAAAACTGTACTCTAACAAATTTGAAAACCTAGAGGAAATGGACAAATTTCTAGTAACTCACTACCTACCTAAACAAACACAAACAGAGGTAGAATGACTAAATAAACCCATAACAAAAGAAGAGATTGAAAAGGTAATTAAAAAACTCCCAACCAAAAAAAGCCCTGGCCCGTACGGCTTCACTGGAGAATTCTACCAAACTTCCAGAGAAGATTTAACACCACTTCTACTAAAGGTATTTCAGAATACAGAAAAGGATGGAATACTCCCAAACTTATTCTATGAAGCCAGCATAACCCTGATACCAAAACCAGGTAAAGACACCACAAAAAAAGAAAATTACAGACCAATATCCCTCA